TTCTGAAGCAACTAATATTATTTTTATACCAGTATTTGGACTTTTCCACAACTTCTTTGAAGCCCCCTATTCGAAACCGTATTTTTTCCCATCTACCAGTCCGCTTACCTTTTTTTTTTTATTTCAACTAAGTATTACGCAGGTTACTGTATTGAAAACTGGTATTTCCTGCAGTGAGTTTAGAACTATCTCAGTGACCGTTTCCTCATTTTACCCCTTCTTCTGAAACAACTATTATTATTTTTATACCAGTATTTTGATTTTTTCACAACCTCTTTAAAGCCTTTTTTGAAACCATATTTTCCCGATCTACCAGTCCGCTAACCCTATTTTTTTTCACTTCAACTATTTCTTACTTTACTGTATTCAAAACTGATATTACTCATAGTGAATTTAAAGCTGTTTTAATGATTGTTCCCTTATTTTTCCCTTTCTTTTATTTCTTCCCTCCAACCATCATTTTAATACCAATATTTCAAATTTTTTATAACTTTTTTACTCAACGATAAATTCTGGTTTTTCAATTATTGATTTCAAACCGTTTTTTCTCATCTGCCAGTACTGTCACATTATTTTTTTTACAAGTCAACTCATTGAGTAGATTAAGAAAAAGTGCAAAACAACGTATCTTCCCGCACATAAACAAAAGTTATAACAGTAAGTAAGTTAAAAAATATCCATCAGAAACAAATATAGTGTCCCATTTTTGCTAATGTCTCGTCAGCAAAAAAACCAAAACCGGAGAAGTTTGGACTGTAAACAGAATAGACAATTGCGAACAAAAATATATAACAACTCATAAACACAATTGACAAAGAAGTTTAATCTACCTTTTCAGGGGCCTGTCTAGTATATTCCGGATGCCTGCACACAACATTGTGGCACACTGCCAATTCCGCTGGAATCGTTCCAGCGAAAAGCATTTTCCCTTTCAAACCAAATTAGGATTGAATCTGCCTGTAGTCGTGTACATTTCTAAGTGTCAACTAACGACCATGGCAGGAAGTAAGCTTGTTTTAGGAAAGGTTTCAGTGACTTTGGCGCAATACCACTGTGCTGTAAGAAGGTACCTCTACGTTAAGCTAGCGGTTTCCGGAAAGGTATGCAAAACTTTTGTTTTACATAGGTATATAAGGTGTAAAAAAGAGCTTTCGTTTATCAGTGCTTAATCTATTTTTTTTTCGGAATTGTTTTTGTCGAAATTTTTTGCTTTTTGGCCTCTATTCTGTTGAGATTTTAGGAGAAATGTGAGAGCGCTCTTGTTTTTACACATTACCCTTTAACTTATTTACCTTAATAACTGAATTAATTGCGCGGAAACAGCTGTCAATTTTCTTATTGTAAGATTCTACTCAGTTGAGAGTTATTGAGTGTGTGACAAAAATGTAGGGCTTAGACCACTATGAGGAAGATAGGCTGTCTTAAAGTGACAGTCCAAAGAAGTCCCATCTGTTAATAAGTAAGAAAATATATAAAAACAGTAATAGAAAAATAATGAATAGTGGAAAAAAGAAACAGGGGATAAAAAAGGGACAACATTTACTATCAGTATTGATTTTTTGGATTTTTTTGAAAGAGAATGGTTTTTTTCAAGCGAAAACTCGAGACTACTTTTGGCACTTTTCTCGACAGTCGTCGAAGGGGACTACTGTATCCGTCCCCCGCCATATCCAAAAAATCAAGACATATAAAATAAGAGAAAAAGAAAAAAAAAAAATATATATATATATATATATATA